ATGAGAAATTTGACGCTAAAGATACAGCTGTATTATCACTTGACACTCGTCAGGCCTTTGACAGAATTGAATGGTCATATCTATTTAATGTTCTCCCGAGATATGGATTTGGATGCAATTTCCTCAAATGGGTTAAGCTTTTGTATACAATTCCCGAAGCCAGTGTTTGGACAAACAACTTAGCTTCCAAACCTTTCACATTAGAACGTTCTACTCGCCAGGGTTGCTCGTTATCTCTAATGCTATTTGCTTTAGCTATAGAACCCTTGGCAATGATGATAAGAATGTGAACTGATTTATTTGGCATTCAGTTGGGAGACCAAGAGCATAGATTGGCATTGTACGTTGATGATCTGATAGTTTTTTTGACAAGGCTGCCCGTTAGCATCCCAAATTTAATGCAACAAATAGAGTTGTTTGGACAGTTTTCTGGCTACAAAATAAATGATTCAAAGTCCTCTATTCTATTTTTGAACAGGGATGAAAGACTAAACCCAGTTATGCAAACCCCATTTATCAATGCAAGAGAGGGATTAGTGTACCTTGGTGTTAAAATTACCCCAGACATTAAAACAATTGTACCAACAAACTATGATCCTATGGTTAGTGAAGTAAATGAGTCACTAAATAAATGGATGATAATGCCCATATCAATGATTGGCCGAATAAACATAATCAAAATGAATATATTACCAAAATTTTTGCATCTGTTTCAGTCAATTCCTTTGCCTCTTCCAAAACAATTTTTTGATGGATTAAACTGTATTTTTAATAGATTTATTTGGAACAATAAAAAACCTAGAACAAGACTTCACCTACTGTACCTGCCATATGAGGGGGGCTACAACTCCCTAATTTTAAATTGTATTATTGGGCCGCGCAGCTGCGCTCAGCCATGTTCTACTTTTCAACCGAAACACCCACCAGCGTGGACAAAAATTGAACAATTAGTAACAAACCTTAGATTAAATTTGTATTTGTATTCCGCAAGGCCAAAACAATTGATAAAAATGACAAAAAAACCCTTTTTAAAAAACACAATTGACGTTTGGTATAGGACCCATCAATATATTGGAGATACTCCTTCCATTTCTCCTTTTTCACCTATTTGGGGGAACAGATATTTTAAGGCAGGAAGAGCTGACGGAGGTTTCAAAATCTGGGCAAATAAAGGTGTACAAAAACTGGCAGATAAGGATGACAGGCTTCTTACATTTGAGCAGTTATGCCAAATATATAGCATCTCAAAGAAACACTTTTATAAGTATTTACAAGTTAAACATTTCATTATGTCAAAACACAAACAGATTGAATCCAGACCACCACTATCATACCTCGGGAATATTGTAGTAGACAATCTGGAGCGGAGAGGCCACATTTCTTTATTTTATGCAGCTTTACTAATGCATGATGAGGAATCTACCGCAGACAGATTGGATGCATGGAAATCCGACTTCCGAGAAGAGATACAAGTGGCGGACTGCGAAACCGCATGCTTAAAAGCCCAAAAGCAGTCAATTAACACCAAGATGAAACTCCTCCAATACAAGTGGTTGATGATAACTTACATAACTCCTGTCAAACTGAATCGCTGGTCACCTAACATCCCAGACAACTGCAGTAGGTGCTTGGTTGGAAGGGGTACTCTTTTTCACTGTGTATGGGAGTGTCCAAAAATACAGCAATACTGGAACTCAGTTACGCAAACTTTGTCAAGGATTGTTGGGAGTGAATGTACCCACTGAGGCTAAAATGTGTGTTTTAGGTATTTACCCAGAGAACTGTATTCTTAGTTCCAGACAGTTAAAATTCATCGATTTTGGACTCCTGCAGGCCAGGAGATTAATATCTCTACACTGGAAAAAAATGGACATACTGTCAAATCACATGTGGGTAAAGGAGGTGGCATCATGTATGGCTCTGGAGCGACTCACTTATAATGTCAGAGGAAAGGGAGCGAAATTTGAAGAAACCTGGTCACCATTGACTGAGTTCCTGAAACACTACAAAGGAAACTAAATGAACGGTGCATGTTGCTGAGAATTTTTTGAGTTGTTTTTATTTATTTATTTGTATTATTGATTTATTGATTTATTTTGTGTTTTCTGATATGTGTACAGTTGATTTTTTTTTTCCTTTTTAGTTCTGTTTGCTCTGGGGACTAAGTTGTTTAATGTGAATCTTATGTTAATGTACCACTGTCTTGAGACCGGAGGCTGTAGGTCGTGTTGTTTAAAGTCAACAAAGATGAAAGATAAGGTGCTGTCAACTTAAGAATAGTCTTGTAAATCAAAACATACCAATGGTCAAGCAGACGTACATGCAGAGACAGCCATTTTACCTCATCATACAAGAGACAGTGATGAGTTAGGGCTCCATAATTTGTAATAAACCGCAAAGCGCCATGATACACGCTATCCAGCATGTGACGACATTGAGCAGAGGCGTTCATGTATAATACATCACCATAGTCAATAATTGGAAGAAAAGTTGACTCCACCAATTTCTGTTTTACCCTAAAAGAAAAGCAGGATTTATTCTGAAAATAAAATCCAAGTAAAAGCTTCAGTTTATTTACAGAAAACTGAATATGAGCTTTAAAAGACAATCTGTCATCAATTAAAAATCCCAGATATTTGAATGAAGATACAAGTTCAATTTGTTGACCATCACTAGTGGTGATGAGAGACTGGTTTGACCTTGATGATTTCTCACGTGTCTCACCAGATCTGCTAAATAAGTTAGAAATCTCATTGATCTGAGTTAAAATGATTCTTTATTTATCCTTTACATTCTCAAATGATATGAAACTAGTGATTGATTTGAGTCAAAGTCTCTAAAAGTAATATTTGTAAGTAAATCTATCTTTAGGAGTTGACCTATTCAAGATGGCCACCACAGCTAATTGAACCAAAAATCACAAGTACTGAGTGTGTCAGATACTGAACTGCAGCTGATGTGGCAGTAGCTGAGAGTCATCCTCGAAACATATTTCAAGAGGTAACAGATCACAAATGATCTCCCACAATAACCTGAGATTGTTCATAAGGTCATCTGTACAGTTTGACTCAAACGCTCAAACTACATCCACTATGACCAGATGTTCTGATGAGTTCAAGGAATGTTACACCTTCATCTCCTTCATACTTTCATGAATTTACACTATTTTACAATTGTTTAGATCAGTAACTCTCACCATAAAGCTGTTATTAATATGTGAATGTAAAAATGACTCCATCATTTCAAATGATAAACGTCATGTGGACGACATAAAGCTGCTTCCATTAACTTCTTCCATTTCATAAAGAGCATTGAAGATGATTTCTCTGTGATGATGTCACGATCAGTGTGTTTTCATCATGATTTCATGGATCTTTATGTTTCAGATCACAAGTCATTTCTCTTTGGATCATTATAATTTTGTTCTTTGATTATTTAGTCTCCCTGGAGGCCGTGCTCCAGGTGGGTTTGCAGAGATCACATGGAACAGTTGTTGCACAAATCAAACACAATTCAAGTCACATTTAAAAGTGACATCATCATAATGATGTCTATTGTTACATTTAATAAGAAAAATAACATTTCAAACCTCACACTGTCACATCCTTCTTTAATAAGAGCTGACTTCATTTTATTGTTATTGAATAAAAATCTACATGTTGGATGTAAAATATGTGTGTAGTTTTAAAATATAGCATACTTTATAAAAATATAATTACAAAGAGCTCTGGTAAAACATGAAAGTGCGAACAGAACTGCTCCTAAAATCATTTTAAAAGCAGCTCACCAGATATAATTCAGTGTTAGACTTTTCTCCTCTGTCTCTTAATAAATACTTACCTAAATGTTTTTGCAGGTTTTGAATCGTCTTCTGCTGAACTTGATCCACCAGAAAGACTGTGTGGTTCACAGAGTTTCTGCACAAATCAAAACATGAAACTTTAAATTAAAATGTTCTGAGAGAACAACAAGGATCATTTTTATGCACACTAACCAGAAACCTCCAGTGATTTTGGTCGACATGGACAAATAACACAAAGCTCTTGTAATTCTCAACATTTACCAGGAAAAACAAACACTTGATGTTAAAATGATATAAATGTCATTTCTGACATTAATGTACAATTTGAACTTTATTTTTCCAAATGGTTATTGTCACATAAAATATTAAACATATAAATTATTTTAAATGAAACATTCCTGTTTTTACTTGAACTATGTTGCATTTCAACGAGACAATAAATTTTCTGCACTAATGATGTGATTTCTGGTAAAGCCGTACTTACCCTCGCTGTTTCTACAACATCCTGAAGAACGAGCAACAAACACAGAAACTTAGGGACAATTCTGTGGAAAATGTCCAACTTTGCAGGGCCTTTATTTTGAAATTCCACGTGAGATCTTGGTGACATCTGGTGAGCAACATCTGGAGATGTTCTACAGTCAGCCTGAAGTGAGACTGGTCACTGGAAACTAAGAGTTTTGTTTTAATATTAATGGAAACTTCAGGGAAAACAATTGAACATTCTCACATCATGAACATACAAATAACCACAAAACAGAGACTAAAGTCAAATATTATGGATCATATTCACAGGCGGACATTAAAAATCATTTCTGAACATGGTCCAGCAAGAATGACTTCAATCAACTCGAGTCAAAACATGAAAAACTCATTGGAGTTTTTTATTTATTTAACTTAAACACAAAAAGTTCTCTACTCTTTGGATATGGGGGCGAGATTGAAACTTTTTGTGGAAACAGCTGAGCAGGAATGTTGGTCCCGTTACAGCTTCCAGTGCTAACATGTGTTTTTTGTCCAGAGTTTGTACCAACAGGAAACACACATCAGCTTTTATTTTGAAAGAACCTCGCAAGAGTGACTCCCTGGTGGTGTTAGCGCGTGCACAACCAAACCGCGTGAGCGCTGACTTTTTGAAGTGGAGGCTGCTGGACCGAAGTTTAATATTGAACAACTTTACTAGAAATTACAACCATACCTGTTAGAGAACAAACATGTGGTTGGTGGAGGTCTGACGTGAAGCTCCTGCTCCTACACAGAAAAATAGAGACACAGTCACGAGACTAGATTATCCAAGCACGCGACGACATGTGGCTGCTAACAGCTACACATGCTAACAGCTACACATGCTAACAGATACACATGCTCACAGCTACACATGCTAACAGATACATATGCTAACAGCTACACATGCTAACAGCTACAGACGCTAACAGCTACAGACACTAACAGCTACAGATGCTAACAACTACAGACGCTAACAGCTACAGATGCTAACAACTTGTTAAAGACGTGATCTGGCTGCGGGCCACCGGATCCAGAAACCCCCTCCAGCCCACGTCTTTACCCCCGGCTCGAACCTCCCTCAGAAGTGGCAACTCATGCTAACAAATAAATCAAGGAAACGTCCATTGAGTTTTATCAGTAATATTAAAAAAGACAAGAGAAGATTACAATTTCACAGCGCTGGACTCTACACAATCCTGTGACGCGTTCACAGAACCGGAAGAGCCCCGAAGTCCCGTGTTGTCACTCATTTATGGGGTCCTTGACTCCGCCTTTCGCAGAAGGGGAGCGCAACCTGTGAGTGTATGAGGGGGCGTGACTAAGTGTGGTTTTATGTGTAATGACGTGTAAGGAAAACATGAGACGGTGCTTTAAAGCCTTTTCTACGTGATGAGGCAAGCTGAATAAACTATTTCTTGACAGATATTGAATTATCAGGGAGACTCTCTTAAGAGTTTGCTGGCCCAGTTTAACCCAGTCAGAACCGGGTCAGAATTTCATTATAATCCCGTCTCTGAGCAGATCAAAACATAGGACCCGTCTAAATAGGAAATAACTTAACAAACTACAGCTACAGACGCTAACAGCTACAGACGCTAACAACTACAGACGCTAACAACTACAGACACTAACAGCTACAGATGTTAACAACTACAGACGCTAACAGCTAAAGACGCTAACAATTACAGACGCTAACAGCTACAGATGTTAACAACTAAAGACGCTAACAGATACAGATGTTAACAACTACAGACACTAACAGCTAAAGATGTTAACCACTACAGACACTAACAGCTACAGACACTAACAACTACAGATGCTAACAACTACAGATGTTAACAACTACAGAAACTAACAACTACAGATGTTAACAACTACAGACACTAACAGCTACAGACACTAACAGCTACAGATGTTAACAACTACAGACACCAACAGCTACAGATGTTAACAACTACAGACGCTAACAGATACAGACACTAACAACTACAGACACTAACAACTACAGATGTTAACAACTACAGACACTAACAGCTACAGATGTTAACAACTACAGACACTAACAGCTACAGATGTTAACAACTACAGATGTTAACAACTACAGACACTAACAGCTACAGATGTTAACAACTACAGATGCTAACAGCTAAAGACGCTAACAATTACAGATGCTAACAGCTACAGATGTTAACAACTAAAGACGCTAACAGATACAGATGTTAACAACTACAGACACTAACAGCTAAATATGTTAACAACTACAGATGTTAACAACTACAGAAACTAACAACTACAGATGTTAACAACTACAGACACTAACAGCTACAGACACTAACAGCTACAGATGTTAACAACTACAGACACTAACAGCTACAGATGTTAACAACTACAGATACTAACAGCTACAGACACTAACAACTACAGACACTAACAACTACAGATGTTAACAACTGCAGACACTAACAGCTACAGATGTTAACAACTACAGACATTAACAGCTACAGACACTAACAGCTACAGATGTTAACAACTACAGACACTAACAGCTACAGACACTAACAGCTACAGACACTAACAACTACAGACACTAACAACTACAGATGTTAACAACTACAGATGTTAACAACTACAGACACTAACAGCTACAGACACCACCAACTACAGATGCTAACAACTACAGATGTTAACAACTACAGACACTAACAACTACAGATGTTAACAACTACAGACACTAACAGCTACAGACACTAACAACTACAGACACTAACAACTACAGATGTTAACAACTACAGATGTTAACAGCTACAGACACTAACAACTACAGACACTAACAACTACAGACGTTAACAACTACAGACGCTAACAGCTACAGACGCTAACAACTACAGACCCTAACAGCTACAGACGCTAACAGCTACAGACGCTAACAGCTACAGACGTTAACAGCTACAGACGCTAACAACTACAGACGTTAACAACTACAGACGCTAACAGCTACAGACGCTAACAGCTACAGACGCTGACAGCTACAGACGCTGACAGCTACATATGCAAACAGCTACAGATGCTAACAACTGCAGACGTTAACAACTACAAACGCTAACAGCTACAAATGTTAACAGCTACAGACGCTAACAGCTACAGACGCTGACAGCTACAAATGTTAACAACTACAGACGCTAACAGCTACAAATGTTAACAGCTACAGACGCTAACAGCTACAGACGCTGACAGCTACAGACGCTGACAACTACAGACGCTGACAGCTACAGATGCAAACAACTACAGACGCTAACAGCTACAGACGCTGACAGCTACAGATGCAAACAGCTACAGATGCTAACAGCTACAGACGTTAACAGCTACAGACGCTAACAACTACAGACGTTAACAACTACAGACGCTAACAGCTACAGATGCAAACAGCTACAGACGCTAACAGCTACAGACGCTGACAGCTACAGACGCTGACAGCTACAGATGCAAACAGCTACAGATGCTAACAACTGCAGACGTTAACAACTACAGACGTTAACAGCTACAGATGCTAACAACTACAGACGCTAACTGCAGACGCTAACAGCTACAGATGCTAACAGACTGAACTAACTTCCTCTGCACAGACAATAAGCTGCAGCGTTACAAGCCTCTGGCAGCAGCAGCTTGGAACTAAATCACAGAATAAAGTATTTGACTCACGAGAAGTCTTTTTTCATCAGTAATTGAAATAAATCACGGAGCTAAATCCAGACGAAGCTTCTCATCACGAAGGAAAACAAACAGGCCGAGCTGTGACGTCATGTTCACATATTTACCAGCAGCAGGGTTGCCAGGTGAAAAATGTAGGATTATCGTACTAGGGACATAAAATAATGGGTCCGCTTCCAGACCTGCTCTGCTTCTTCTTCTTTTCTTTTCATCACTTATGGGACGCAGCGGACTATTCATCCGTTGTTCTCACACAAATACATTCAACACATAAAGTACAAGTTTTTATGGCGTTCATGTTGGTGGACTGTCTAATAGTTTGAATATTTTGTTTGACCTCATTTTAAAAATGGAAATAAGTGGTTTTTGATTAATGTGACGTCATTTGTGGATTTGTTTAAAAAAATCTATAATGAGATGAATGATATAAAATAGTTTTCTTTTAGCCGATGGTTCAGTGAAGCCAAATAATATGTGTTCAAAGCAAAGGGACAGATGTGGTTCAGTAGAAGTAGAAATCAGGATGCATAGATCTGCCCATAGTTGGAGAGAAGGAGATAAAATCTCCCTTTCAATGATAAATCTCTTTGCAGCCACTGGTTAAGTTTTTTAGGAGATTTATCAATAATTGAGTTAAAGTTCAGATTGTTGAAGTTCACCACCAGAGGGAGACAAACCCTCACACTCAACCTCACTGACACCAGAAGAAGAATTCAAACATTTATAAATTCATTACACTTAAAGAATGTTTTATTAAAAATGAAATTTAAATTAAATGAAAATGAAACTTAAAAATGAAAAATATATTTTTCTTCTAACAGAAGTATTTTGATTTTTCAAAGTAAAAGTTTTAAAATTGAGTAAATTTAAATGAGTCCACAGGAGGAGCTGGTGTCAGTCTCCAGCAGTCACTGTGTGAGAGGTGGGGGACACCTGGACATGTCTCCAGTCCACCAAAGAGACTCGTAGCTATGTTTGAGTGAAACTTGCAGAAAGTAATCGTTGGATGTACGTCTACAACTGATTAGTTTTTGGAGTCAGCTGAAGTTACAATGGCTGCCACAGTTAACTGAACTTAAAAACATAAAAAATGTCTATAATTCAGTTTTACAGATATTGATGTAACGTTTGGGGTGGTAGTAGCTGAGAGGAATCCCCAACACACAGTCTGAGCACTAATAGATTGTCTGAGACCTTGGTTTAAAATTCTGACATTAAACTCAACTCTGTCTGTTAGCAAAATATCTCATGAACCAGTGAAGATATTTTATTGAAACTTTCCAGAGATAATCAGTGGATGTACGTCTACAACTGATTTAAGTTTTGGAGCCGACCCAGTTCTTGATGGTTGACACAGAAAACTCATGTTAGAAAACACAGAAATGTCTATAATTCAGTCAGTTTCATAGATATTTTGCTAACATTTGGAATATGAAGAATAAATGCACAACTGCTGTTAAAGCAGCAAAACGTAACTATTTCTTATCTCAGACCTCCAAAAATCTAAATGACCCTAACAGATTCTGGTGTGGAAAAAATAGTAATTATTTTAAAGTTTAAAAACTTCTAATAAAACGAAAAGAACCAGAGACATCTCTCTTTTAGCTCAAATCGGAGCGCAAGGTTTATTTTTTTTCTGCAGAAAAGAGTTGCTCCTCTGAACGAAGTCAGAACAGCGCACTGAATTTTTAAAGAGACAGTACATACTTTTATACATGTTTCGTGCGTCACAATAACATCATATCATGAAGGAGGATAACGTTTCTCATGCTGATATCACACACAGGTTCTTTGTTATCAGCACGAGATGTTATTCTTCTTGTTGAGCCGGTGCTTTGTAACCAGTCTTCTGTCCATGTGACCAGAACATTCTGATAAACATTGTGGAGCTGGTGTTTTTTAATTAGATTTGTAACTGTCTTCTGTCCATGTGATCAGAACATTCTGATAAACATTGTGGAGCTGGTATTTTTTAATTAGATTTGTAACAAGTCTTTGTTCATGTGGCTAGGATATTCTGATAAAGGAAGAACATGTTGATACTAAAAAACGTTCTCAGCAGTTAGATAAAAGTTCTGTGTCTTTGTTTTTTTGCAGGTGGTGAATACAAGGACGTTTTGCTGAGCACAAGGCTTTGAGAAGTTTACAAAAGTTCACATTTACACATCAACTGAGGAGTTTCACCAAAGTTCACATTTTACACATCAACTTTAAAAATCTGCAGAATAAACATGGATTTTAAACAATATTTAAACGATACGTGTCAGTTTATTAATTTTTTCCACAATTTCCCCCCTTTTGTTCCAAAAGGAACAACAAAATAAGAAAACAGAGTGAATAAAGTATATATATATAAGTATAGACTTTGAATGGGATAAACATCAAGTTCAATGCATCACTTGTGGTTTGGCACAGGACCATCATAAACTTCAAATGGAAATTGCAAGAGCTGTTTTTGTGGGTTACAGACCCTGTTTAAGAGCTATATGCGTACAGGTAAGAAACTTCAATTTTATTCAAAACATGAAAATATACAAAGAACTCAAAGGAGGGCATATTGTTTCAATCAAAAAGTATTAACATAAAAAATAAAAAGAAGAAAACATAAAATTTTATTTAAAAACATAAAACCAAAATATGAAACTGTAAGAAATGTCTTTAGTTCAGGAAATCTTGTCCAGTGTACTCATGGTCTTCTGGTCTAAGCCTAAGAACACAACTTTGGACGGCTAAGACTACTAAATCTAGGAATTCTAGTCTAGATGGAATGGGTGAAGTTTCAGTCATCAGGGAGTGTCCGCCTCTGTCAAAGTCAATTACAAAGATGTCATTGGTGCAGGATGTGTCAATCTCAAGAATGGATTGATGTTCTCTAACTGTAAAACGAATTCTCATTTTATTTTAAAACAAAAGTGGTGGAAGTCCTAGGCAACAGTTCAGTGGATGGGCTGGGCTTTTTAATGTCAATGTCAGAGATGGCTGTTGTAACTACTACTGTAAAGGCCTTGTTTACCATGCTCTTGATGCATGGGACAACACAGGAGAAAAATAAACAAAACAAAACTAAAAAGACGATGAGAGGGGCGCAAATTCTCAACAGAAGCTGCCACCATGAACCAGAGGTAAGCCATACCCAGAAATCAAAGGGCTGTGCGCCTTTGGTACTGCTTTCTACATAGTCTTTTAAGTGTGTCTGCTTTCCGATAAGCAAAGGTAACCACTGGAGGTAGCGATAAGCACCTTTGCTTGCTGCCTCTCCTCCAAGGGGTCCGGAAGCTTACTTCAGCGCCGTGGTATTACCTGTAGCTGCCTAAAGTAGCCTCATTAAGGCTGCGGCGAGGTGATTCATCCAGAATATTAACGACCTTAAATCCGTGAGTCACACCCTAATTTCACTCTGTTACCTCGACCCTCCAAGCAGCAGGGAATGGATCTTCTGGTCTAGAGAAACTCGCGTTGTGGCCGCTCACCTCTCACATTAGCGTTGCAATTGTTAACTGTTCTGGTAATCTTTAGGGCCCTGGGAACGGGCTCAAGGGTGTTGTTTATCAACTAGGAAACCTTTACAAAAACCTCCTGTTATTGGTGTTGTTAAGTGAACCAAGCATTTCCATGTTTTGCTCATTAAGGGTGAAATAATAGTCCAGATTTGTACGTTTTGCTTTGCTTTTAATCAATAGTTTGCGCAGGGGTACAGCAACAGGCACAATTTTATAATGATTAATTTTTCATGAGTACATAGGATACACTTTCTTCTTTAAACAAGGCGATGACTACTATCCGTGGAAATTCTAAACCTCAAGAGCCCTTGAGGGTTTACAGACACTGCCTTCACATAAACCTTTCACAACTCAAGCCAAAAGATGTTCTCCCTCAACTCTCTCATGAACCAGAAGCACCTTCGAGCAAATCTCACCAGTAACCAATTTAGTACTCCCAAATTTATTCTGTATGCTGTTCTTCCAATTTGATGAAATAATTTAATTAGAGCAGAGTAAGATTGAGGTCGTCCGCTTACCATGATTTTGGAGTGACCCTTAGTGGGACACTTGTGGGGGTAAGGGCAAATTTCCTGTTCTCTAGGAGAGAGATACAGGCCAACCTCGAAGGCAAGTACAGCTGTTCCAAATTAGAGGATCAGAGTTTTTGGACGGGCCCAGGTCAAGCGGTTGATAGAAGTGGGAAACTCATCCAGTTTGAGTGTTGACGAAAGAAAGCTTAAATCCAATCCCATGTCAGTGAAGAAAAGAATTAACTCCCATCATCGTCTCAAAACTGGTAAAATCCAACTCCTTTTAGGCTCCCTCTGATCCGACGAGCTTGTCCATCGCCTGTAATCTCCTCTGCTCAGCTCTTCAGTTCAGCTTCGACTCTGCATTGACCAAGTTCAATCCGGTCAGTCTGTATTTAAAGACTTCTTTTTCTCTCCTCCTCTTAAGGAGGGGTTTTGGAAAATTACATCATTTCTTTTCCAGTAACTTCTCTGCTGTTTTGCACCTCAACCGGTTTAGACCAGTTTTCTGGTACTTTCCAGAACTTGTTTTGCTCAAAGATGCGTCATCATGAGATGAGCTGTGTTCTGAACTCTATGACTTCTTGTTCTCCTCTATTGCTCGAGGCAAGCCCAGACTTGTTCTTAGGTGGGCATGCTCAGACATGTTTCTCTGTTACATGAGGCCTCTTTACTTTACCATTTCATAAGTAAAAGTAATCACACAATCATACAAAAGATTATACAATTTCTTAAAGATTAATACTTCCATTAATTGATTATTTGTTGATTATTAGTGAAACAGTGAAACAGCTTTTGGTTACACATCATCATTTTAGCTGGATGTAAAGCAGGAGTTCAGTCCTTCTGTACTCAGCTGCAGAGGAGAACTTCGATCAGGCTTCATTTTTTTATTAAAGCTGGTCGTCTGTCATGCATCATCACTACAGACACCTGGTTTATTGACAAGTGGGACAAATCTTCTAGTGCGTCATGGATGGCACCTCCATCGTGTGTTTCATCAGGGATAAATGTACAGCATACTTGACCAATTATCTTACAAACGCCCCCTTGTGAGGCCGTTAAAAGATCAAGG